ATTTTCTTTTTATTAATCACTATACCATCATCACTTCCAGAGTCTCCACTTCTATAACATTCAACATGTTCTAACCAAAAAAAAAAAAAAAAATCCAATTTTCCTCTGCAATACCCGTCACTATTTCTTTCCATATAGTTAACAGTAGCCTATAACCTTGACTGTTTTAACACCAATTCAAAGTCCACCCTGGAGTCACCACGAAATCCTCACAGGTGAAAGAAAGATTCGGGTCTTGTATCAACACACTTATGTCTCTCTAGGGTATGTTAGTTTTCCAGGAAAGAATCCATTTTCTTAAGGATGTCAATTGATAATGGGCGAAACACCATTTTCCGGGCTATGCTTTCAAGACGGATTCTTATAGATTTACTCTAGGTTAGAGACAATGTTAAACTATGACTAGTTTTCCATCTAAAATATGCAAACTTGGAACAATGTGTTCCCACACTCGGTTTCCGTAATACAATATTCTAATGCAGATCTCAGAGTAGTTTTCAAAACTCCCCTCAGACTTAAGTAGTACTCTAGAACCATAATGGCTAACACTGGATCAATTCTACTTCCCAGCACTGTTTATTTAGTAGTCTGGTTACCATGAAGAGTGTGCTCACTTCAGGCTCTTGAAGCTGGATACTTGGCACGTTAGAGTACAGATGGATTCCCCCCCACCCCCGCCAATGTAATCTAGCAGTTCAGCGAGGTTTTCCCACCTTCTATTCTCAAAGTCCAGTCCCTGCAAACACACAATAGTCATAAGACTTGATGTTACAATTTGTTTTTCATACCAACTACTATTTCACGGATGAAAGGACTCTTCAGTTTTACCTGCCTATGGAATGTCCATTCTTGTATAGTTTGCATCCTATTATACTTTGTATTACTAGTGAGAAAGGAGTCAGATACCCTGCAGGCAGTTAGGGCAGGGGCCTGAAGGCCAACAGGTAAGTCACAAGAATGTGAACATGCTTAGCTAAGGTAAAGGTAACCAATAGGGACCCTTTAGTTATTTCACTTTAGCCATAGTATCTTTAAGGTAAAAGGGGAATTCCTTTGAGGTATGCACACATTTGAGGCAACAGTGTCTCTAAATGACCTACCCTCATTAACATAGTAGAAATCACACTGACCAGTGTCCTGACAGTTGACAAATACCATGGCAACCCCCAGAAATTACCCTATATGAACTCAAAAGGGGAAGGACCCTCGGTTCCAAGAACTCTCCACCCCTTTCTCGGAAAACCCATGAATATCCTGCCCCTAGTTTAGCGCAGCACTAAGATTTAGAGTAAGAGTCCCTAATTCTGGGGTAGCACTGTTTCCTCTTTGGGTCAGTCTGCTCTTTGCCTCCCTCTTAAAAGGATACTTTGCTTTCAATAAAGCTCTCTTTTGCTTATACTTTGTGTCTGAATTCTTTTCTCTCACTCGTGCCCCTGTGCTTGAATTCCTTCCTGCACAGATGGCAAGAAACCATCCACCATCGTGGACAGTGGTCCATACCACCAGTATCACTAGAAAGTAATCGAATGGAAATCAATGTAGTAAATGGCAATAAAACACCAAACAGCTCGTTTTTTTGCTCATTTCATTACAAATAAAATGGTTAATTTGCTTAAATGAGATAATTTATGTAAAAGCACATTGTAAGCTATCAAACAACGGCATGCCTATTACTTTGAATTAGAGGGGCTCAATCTTTTTCACTAATTTTAGAGAATACTATGTTTGAGCTGTAAGGACCCTGGACCTTACAGCTCCTTGCTCCAGATGAGAAAACTTGAGGCCCAGAGAGCTTAAGCAGTATCTTCCCTGAGCCCCCAACTCACCTACTGAAAGGATGGCCCTGCTAATAATCTAACAGAAAAACAAACAGGAAGAAAAGAGTAAACTCACAGTACTTAATTGCCCCTTTGAAGAAAAGATCACAGCACAACTGCCTTTAATTAACCACTTGTGGCACAACTCATTGCCTTTAAGATTAACCACCTGAGTGGCTTAACTTGTCCTCTTTGTTTGTTTTAACAGCCTTTAAGAGCCCTGAGCAGACAGCAGGGGTGTGAACTTCCAGCCCCACCTCTGGCCAGACCACATTCCAAGGACCCTGATAAGCCAGCCTCACAGAGGGGAAAAAAAAAAAAAGGAAAAACAAGACACAACCATTTTCTGCCATCAGCCGGTAGCAATCACTTTTCTCTTTATTCCCACAAAATCCCTGAACCCCATACCCCCAGGCTGGCACTTCTTTCTCTAGTGCCAAGCCCTTCCCTCCATTTGGGAAGTAAAATAAACTTTCTTTAAAACTATTCTTTGCGTCGACAGCTCTTTCTCAGCTCAAGCTATGAGTTCCCACCCTAACACCTAGACTACCAAGTTTGTCCTAGAGGGCCGGGGCGCGGTGGCTCACGCCTGTAATCCTAGCTCTCTGGGAGGCCGAGGCGGGCAGATTGTTTGAGCTCAGGAGTTGGATACCAGCCTGAGCAAGGGCGAGACCCCGTCTCTACTAAAATTAGAAAGAAATTGATTGGACAACTAAAAATATATAGAAAAAATTAGCCGGGCATGGTGGCGCATGCCTGTAGT